TAGAGCTGAATAATGTTCCATTGTATGGATATACCACAGTGTATTAGTCAGGGTTCCCTGGAGGGACAGAACTAATAGGATAGATGTATGTATGAAGGGGAGTTTATTAAGGAGTATTGACTCACATGATCACAAGGCAAAGTCCCACAATAAACTATCAACAAGCTGAGGAGCAAGGAAGCCAGTCCAAGTCCAAAAACCTCAAAGGTAGGGAAGCCGACAGTGCAGCCTTCAGTCTGTGGCTGAAGGCCTGAAAGCCCTTGGCAAATCACTGGTGTAAGTCCAAGAGTCCAAAAGCTGAAGAACCTGGAATTTGATGTTCGAGGGCAGGAAGCATACAGCAGGGGAGAAAGATGAAGTCCAGAAGACCCAGCAAGTCTCCTCTTCCATCTTCTCCTGCCTGCTTTATTAGCTGCACTGGCAGCTGATTAGATGGTGCTCACCCAGATTGAGGGTGGGTCTGCCTCTCCCAGTCCACTGACTTGAATGTTAATCTTCTTTGGCAGCACCCTCACAGACACACCCAGGAACAGTACTTTGTATCCTTCAATTCAGTCAAGTTGATACTCAGTGTTAACCATCACACACAGTTTATTTATTCATTCACTTACTGAAAGACAATCTTGGCTGCTTCAAGGCTTTGGCAGTTGTGAATAAAGTCACTATTTATGTCTATGTACAGGTTTTTGTGTGGACATACGTTTTTAACTCATTTCAATAAATGCCAAGGGATGTGATTGCTGTATTGTATGTTAAAAATATGCTTAGTTTTGTAAGATGGTTCTTTTTTTTTTTTTTAATAGTTTCTATTATTCTGCCAATAACTTCATTTTTTCCCCTTTGTTCAAGAGTGTTTGTCTTTACTTCATGGAGCATAGTTACAATAGTTGCTTTAAAATCTGTGCCTGATTATTCTACCATCTTGGTCTTCTCAGCGGTAGCATTTATTGACTATTTTTTGTGCAAACTAGTAAATTTTATTGGTTCTTTATATGCTGAGTTATTTTAGATTGTATCCTGGACATTTTGAATATTTAATTTGGATGTTTTTCATTAAAATCCTCAAGAGATTTGGAAGATTGTTTGATTATTTGAGAAAGTAATCATACTGGTTTTGTTCAGACTGTCTGTATTTTGTGAGTGATAGTTTCAATGTTATCTCAGTTTTCGGAACCTCTACTAGGCAGCTTTGAGTATGTTCCATGCATGCACAGCTCAAGGTTAAGCCTGGGCCTATGCTGGTTCATACACAGAGTTAGGAGATCCATTTCTGTAATCTCTTATCTCCAGGATTCCCCATAGTCACCCACCTATATAAGTTTTCTATTTCTTATCCTCTGGCCCAATGGATAGGGGTTCTTGTGGAGTTTTGGCTGCCTGTGCTGCTACCAGGTCCTGTGACCAGGACTGTTTTTGGTGCTATGTGGAGATGGAACAAAGAGAGAGAAAATTTACCTACTGACTTACTCCAGTACTCTCTGGACCACAGGAGCCCTTTTCTATTTGTTTAACTAGAAAAACAGAATTTCTATTGGGATTTTAGCTGACCATGCTACTTGCCACCCTGGCTCTGCTAGGCAAGCTGTGAAAATTAGGAGAGGGAATGAGAACACAAGGATTCCTTTCTGTGTTCTTCAGCTTAAAGGATCCCAGCCTTCTTTCTAGATGGAAGGGATTTATCTGAAGGTATTAGCTGTCTGCAGTACCCCCTTGGCAGTTCATTTGTGTGATTGCTCTCCGTCTAAGGCTGTGAAAAGAAAGAGGAAATAAAATGAGAAACTTAATCCTGTGCAACTGAAACTTAATGCTGTTTCAGTTTTTGACTTCTCTTCATAATCTGACTGCATTTCTTTACCTTTCAGAGTCCTTAGGTAGTTGTGTTTTGTATTTTGTCTAGAATTTTTAGCTGTAATAATCAGAAGAGGTGGGCTTTATTGAATTCACTCTTGACTGTACTTTCTTTTGTATTCTTTTTTCACTTCTGTCTGTACTACCTCTCTCAAGATACAATAACTGATGCTAATCCTATCCTTTTATTCTTTGAAGTAGAAACCAGGACTATCCCTTTAAAGACCACATCTGTCACTTCAGGTATTTTTACTTTTGGCTTTCATTTGCTGGCTGAGTGGGTTAAACCTGTTTAGGAGGAATGCAATTCAAGAACCTCACTTTGAAGCTAACCACAGCAATCCTAGTTTACCTCTAAAATGCAGTGTGCAACCACTCCTGTCATCTGTCTTTTGTATGCTCTTCATCAGCAGTCTTCCTCTTCCTTCCCAGTTCATTTATTTAGCCTCTGATTCATTCTTCTCTTCTCCCACCCCGTTCTCTTTTACCAGCCCAGCCTACCAATACTTACTCTCCCTGAAAGGATCTTATCCTTTACCAGAAGTTCAGTTATTACCTCTAAGAACCAGTCCTTTCCCTTTTAAATTTTCTTTTCCCTGAAAGAGCCACAGTTTTATGTATTAGAAAAGTGAAGATATATGTTTGCCCTTAAAGGGATTATAATCATTATAGAAAATTTGAAGGTTTTCAAAAAATTAAAAAAAAAAAAAATTTCCCAAAGCCTGACTATCCAAAGAGAAACACTCAATGTTATGTGTGTGATCTTGAGTGAAAATTTAAAATTTAGATTAGAACATTTTATAAATTATCCAAACTTTTTGTAGGAAAAAAACAGAAAATGTAAATAATCAGTTAAAAAAAAAAAACACTCATAATCCACTGTCTAGAAGTAAATACTGGTTTTAGTTAAGAGTATGTGTGCAGATAGGTGTGTGTGTGTGTGTGTGTGTATGTGTGTTTGTAGGTTGCTTGGTTGGTTAGGGTGGGGAATGGTTGAACCTGATCTGGGATCACAGCCTTGCTGTGTTGGAGGAAGGGGTTGGGTGGAGTGGATGTTGATATGCAAAGGTTGATTTAAACAGTTTCAATTTTGGTATTTGGACAAGGCTTTAGGTGGAATCTCCTGGTGAACAAAATTGGGGAATGGAAAGAATTTGGTAGTGTTATGTTTTGTGTCTTCCTGTCCCTTTTCTTCTCATTTTCCAAAGAGCTTGCCCTGTTCTGTAGGCTAAATCTTAGGCCTCTATGGCAACAAAGACTGTAGGCTAATGGCTCAGATGACAAAGAAAACAAAAGTTGGAAAGGGGCTTTCTCTACATTTCAATCAGAACATAGCAGGACTGCAGCACAGTCAGTACTGGAGTGAACGCCATTGCATCAGTTTTGTAGCGTCAGGGAGTTCTAGAAAACAATGCGTTGGGTTGGGAATTAGCGTTCTACCAGTAACTATGATATTGGTGGGGCAAGGGTGAAGAGAGGACCAAAGTAGAGGAATATGAAGGAAAAGTAATGAGCAAACTATTACAAGTAATCCATGAAGACTCCAAAAAGGAATTAGGGGTGATTTTACTGGAGAGAGAGGTCCTGGGATCAAGAGCCTAAGGGGTGTGTGTGTATAAATATGTGTCTATTTATGTCTACATTGAGCTATATCTACATCTATCTTTCTTCAAAAATAGTACATTTTTATATGTACTATTGTATAATCTTTCTTCCCTTAGTAATATACCTTGAAAATCTTGTCATATCAAATATAGAAATATTTTATCATTTTAAATGGCTGCATTATATTCCATTGAATGCATGAGGATTCCATTGTAATCATTGTATGCATGTATGCGAGTATCAAAATGTATTTAACCATTATCTATCTTTAGGTTGTTTTCAAGCTATTATTAATTTATTAGCAGTTCATTATTAAAATAATGTATTTTTCTCCTTTAAAAAACATTATTCTCGCTTCTCATACTTTCAGCCATAGAATCCTTAGATGGCATTTAAAGGTTTCTGACTTATTCTTGCTCATCTTTTCTGTGTAACCACATTTAGTCTGTTTTCAATTTGATTTACATGGCCAGTGGTACTGCCCCAAAGGGAAGAGGCAAAATGGACCCTAATAGTGCCCATACGTTGCTCACCTTCTTTCCTGCCCATCTCAAGGCTCATTGTCTGGCAAGGATCTGTTAGACTTACATATTCTGAAATACGAATGTTATAAAACTGAGTGGCCTGGCATGGTGGCTCACGTCTGTAATCCCAGCATTTTGGGAGGGTGAGGCAGGTGGATCACCTGAGGTCAGGAGTTTGAGACCAGCCCGGCCAACATGGTGAAACTCCATCTCTACTAAATGTACAAAAATTAGGCTGGGCACGGTGGCTCATGCCTGTAATCCCAGAACTTTGGGAGGCCGAGGCGAGCAGATCACGAGGTCAGGAGTTTGAGACCAGCCTGACCAACATGGTGAAACCCTGTCACTACTGAAAATACAAAAATTAGCCAGGTGTGGTGGCGGGTACCTGTAATCCTAGCTACTCAGGAGGCTGAGGCAGGAGAATCCCTTGAACCCAGGAGTTGAAGGTTGCAGTGAGCCGAGATTGTCACTGTACTCCAGCCTAGGCGACGGAGCGAGACTTTGTCTCAAACAAAACAAAACAAAACAAAACTGAGTGGATTAGATTTCTCAGGGACATTTTCATTTTAAAGGCAACAAAGAAGTTTTAGAACCAAGTGATTGAAATTCTTAGGTATGTGGGAGAGGTGTTGCATTTTGTTTTGTTTTGAACCAAGGGGTTCGGGGGAGGAGTTGGGGAGCAGGATCACTTGGATACTCTTGAACTCCATCAGGACGTGACCTGCTTTTCCTGAATGAAGGTTTGATCCTGGCGGTCCTGGTCTGTGTGGTGGGAATACTATCCTATAGAACGTGGACTTACCATGCATTTACTCCCAACTCGGCATTCAGTTATTTCACAGGAGGAGCTTGAAATTGGTCGGGGTAAGAGCATTTATACCATAGAAAGCAGAAAACACTATAACTCAGGTTTTTCATCACTCTTCTCCCAACCCAGACCCAGTTGTTAAACATTACCAGCACAACATTGACTTCTTATTCCTCAGTTTACCAGGCTGTTACTCAAAATTCCCTCTACAGCCCTGCTTTGGAGCAGTTGGGAACTTCAGCATTTTGATCCACCTTTTTGGAGCTGCCTCATGTGAAAAATGGATGAGACCTACGTCAGCAAACCTGGTAAGAACTCACCAGTCCTGTCCTGAGGATGGGGTGTTAGTTTTTGCATTGCCCTTCACCCTGGAGAGTTAAGCATAAATTCTTCGGGTGGAGGTAAAATGTGACTACTCTGTCTACACCAGGTGGAACATCAGGAACACAAGTATGCAAGCACACATTCTTGTTCACCCACACACAAATAAACTTCCTTTTAGAGTGAAAACCAGAAACTGTTTAAAGCACCCATTTAAAAAATAAAAACTAAGAGTTCTGAAAACAAGTAATAACAACTGATCTTTGGACTTAATTTTTTTTGAGACAGAGTCTTGCTCTGTCGCCCAGGCTGGAGTGCAGTGGTGCAATCTCGGCTCACTGCAACCTCCACCTCCCGGGTTCAAGTGATTCTCATGCCTCAGCCTCCCTAGTAGCTGGGACTATAGGCACACACCTTCATGCCCGGCTAATTTTTTTGTAATTTTAGTAGAGATAGGGTTTCACCACGTTGGCCAGGCTGGTCTCAAACTCTTGAGCTTAGGCAATCTGCCTACCTCGCCTTCCCAAAGTGCTGGGGTTATAAGGCTTGAGCCACCGTGCCCAGCCTAGACTTAATTTTAATGGTAAGGGAAGGGAGCTATAAGGAAGAGGAGGAAATGAAATTGAGGTAGAAAATAGGAAAAGAAAAGAGAGGGGAGGGGAAAAGGGATGAAAAAGAAGAAAAGGGTGAGAAGTAAAAGAAGCAAGTAGGGAGGAAAAGTTTGGAGAGGGCGGATAGGAGAAAAAACTGGACTGTGGAATGGAAGATGGAGAGCCTGCTGGGCTTTGGGGTGAATGTGGTGGTTGGAGTTCAACTATTTTGGTTTCCTTGGGCACAGGCCCTGAGAGGAGGTTACCCCTGCTCTGACTGCACTCAGAGGTTTAGTAACAATCATATTCTAAGCTTTTATTTTTATTTCCATCTTTATTGTCTATTTTTGACCATCAGAATATTTTCTACTGGGATTTTAAACATCTTGTGACAAAATTACTTAGAACTAAAGATTTAGAAATTTAGTAATTAATATTAGATTGTATTAATATGTATAGCCTGTATTTTGCTTTGGTGGATTTTAAACCTTATAGATTGCATTAATTGTTTTTAAGAAAGATTGAGAATGTCTTATTTCACAACGTCTAGAGATTGCACCTTATTAAAAAATAAACCTATTTTTAGTCTACGTAGGAGCTGGTGTGAGAAACACACAATGCAAGCAAATAAAGTGAGAAAAGATAATTCAATAAGAGGCTTCACTGATTTAATGTTTATTTAACTGCTTTGACCAAAGTGCTTGGTTCTTATATGAATAAGAAAGGGGATGAGTTATCCACCAGAATGAAAATTATATTCTGGTTTGAAGCTTCTGCTGTCAGATAATACAGTTTTCTATAGTGTGGAAGAACAGCATCATCTTCAAGCATGGTGGAATTAAGCATGGACAGAACCGTGTTTCTCACCCAGGAGGAGGGTAGGTTTGATGAATTGTTTACAAATTTTGTGTTTGGTGGTAGTAGCAGGGGAGGGATCGTGCGGCCTTCTGGTCACCAGCAAACCTGCAGAATGATTCAGTGACCTTTCCAGTTGATTTAGATAGCCTGTGTCCCTCGTGTCACTGACTGGCACCTACAGTAATACTTGGTGTTATTTAGCTTCTTGTCACATATAACTTTCTTCTCTTCTTTCCTTCGATTGTCCCTTCCCTCCTGAGGGATAGCAGGATTGAGGCCACAGGCTGCCACTCAGGGCATTCACTCTCTGATAAGAGTCAGTAAGGCGGAGCCACTGGTGCCCCCTTAACCCCTGTTACAGGTGGGCAGAGGCTGGGCTGCTAGTATGGTATCCAAAGGACAGTAGCTGTGCTCACTATGGCAGAGTCTAATTTTGAGATGTTGGGATTCTGGAGGAGAAAAATTTTGTGTGCTGCTGAGTCACTACAAATTGATCATTATAGGTAGTAAATAGCAGAACAGAAGAAAGAAACAGGAGGGTACAAGACTGATCATGAAATAATTGGAGTGAGGAGTTCTATTGACTGTAACAATGTAAGACATTTGCATGTACACTGTGAGGTTGATTAGGAAAGAAGCTCTTTGTTCTGAAATGTCTTCATCAGTGAAAGTTGAAGAGATATGCTCAGCTGGGATACAGTGAACTCAATCTACTCCTCCAGGACTGGATCTGCAGAACTCAGATCTACCTTCCATGACAGCTTCTGACTGTTGGCGTACAGAGCTCTTCTCTCTCTCTACATGTAGCTTGTCACTCACTTGGCTTGCACCGATGGGGTGGGGCAGCCTCAGATTGTTTTATAGGTGCAGTTATTTCACTCCTTTAGATGAGGGTTGTGTTTTATGTTACTCTTGAAGCCTCATTTATTTGCCACATGGTGGGCACATGAAGATACATGCTAAATGAAAATTGTGCAAAGAGCTCTGAACTTGGAGGCAGATGACCTTGGACTTTTATTCAGTCTATACTTGTTACAAGTGAGCTTGGATAAGACTGATCTTTCAGCTTTCTTCAGAATGAGATATAAAACAAGTAGAACATATAAATAAATAGAAGAAAATATACACAGATATTACATGATCTTTGAATTATAAGACTCACTAAGCATAAATGCCACTGAAGAAACCACCAAGAATAGATTTGCAAGTATGGAAAGCTTTTTAATTCTATGTATCAGAAAATGTAATAAACAAAATTAAGAGGTAAATGACATACTGAGAAAAATACTTCTACTTGGTAAGTCAAAGTATAGAAAATAAGCAAAAGATACAGTCCACAAAGAAAAAAAATACAAGCAGCTGATAAATATATGTGGTCAAAGAAGTGCACTTCAAATCTACAGTGAGATACTTTTTAATCAGCTCAAATTTTCAGGGAGACCCATTCAGTCTTATATGATGCTGGTGGAAGTGGAAATTTCCTGGAGCAGTGTGTATTAAGAGCCATAAAATGCTTATTTCCTTGAAGTTAATAAGAAACTTGCTAGACCTGTATGAAGGATGCCAACTTAAAAAAATTTATAAAATATTTGTATTTATTTTTTTCGTGATCTATAGGTTTTAATGTTTTTGAAACAAAATTAACCCATAGTAGACTTTGGTAGACAATGTGTGTCTTCTACCTAGATACCCTCTAATTCAGTCAGGGTTTAATTAAAGACATATAAGTACTAGGATAAAAATGTATTTGTTTTTACTGGGGGACATACCGTGTTCCTGCATGGAAAGATTCAGTTTTATAGGTATACAAATTTTCCCAAAATTAATATTTAAGTTTAGTGCAATTCCAATAAAAAATTCTAGTAGGATTTTATTGGGGAGGGACAGGTGTGATGGGAATTGATGATGTGATTTTAATTTTTATTTTATGTTCTGAATAAAACATTTTGTTGGGGTACAGAACATTTTATGATGGAAGAATAAATAAGAAAACCAAGAATATTTTGAATAGGAACAATAAGTAGGAAAAATGTATGCAATGGGATACTAATATGTATTATAAACCACAGAAACTAAAGACGAGTGATGGAATGTATATAGATGGAACAGAATAGAGTGACCACATATAAACCCTAGTGTATGTGGGAATTTAGCATGTGATAAAAATGAAGAAAAATTCAGTGAGGCAAAAGATGGTTTTGGGTCAATTGAGAAACAGTTTGGGAAAAAGTAACAATAGATTTTTACCTAAAAGAGTACAAGAAAACAAATTCCAAATGGAATTAGTTAGATGGGGGAGAATGACACTCAAAAACTTGAAAATAAAGCTGAATGCCTATATAATTTTGTAGTGAAAAAGACCTTTGTAAGTACACAAAAGCTATAAAGGAAAAAACTGATAGAACTGATTATACAGTAACTTAAAGCTACCACAAACTAAATTAATAAGCAAATAATTAATAATAAGCTATTTACAAGCACAAAAGTTAACAAAGTTAAAATACTTAAAAAAAAAAAAAGCCGAGAGACCTTCTCTGTGGCCACCCTTGGGTTGGGTAATTCACACGAATGACACACAGAACCCAGGAAAGCACTTTTATTATGCTTACAATTTTATTATAACGAAAGGACACAGATAATACAATCAGCAGAGGGAAGCGACATAGGGCAGAGCCTGCAGGGTTCCATGCACAGAGCTTCCCATCTTCCTCTCTCTACAGAGTCATGGATTGTGTGACCTCCTGGTCACGATATGTGACAATACACACAGAGTACAGCCAACCAGTGATGCTCACCTGAGCCTCTGATGTCCACAGGGTCAAAGCCCTCACCATAAATCACATCTCTAGACTGGTGGCCAAAGCCCTCAGGCCAACAAAGACACTCATAACACGCCGGGCATTCCAGGGGCCTGGAGAGCACCTCCCAGCAGCCAAAAGCCCTAAGTTAATTCTTCACTACACAGAAACCTATCATTTTATCCCTATCAAGTTGACAAAGTGTAGCAGATGCCATCAGCGCCAGGACACATTTCTGGACATTTCATTGCTTCCCAGTAGATTTCTAAGGGTGGTATTTGTAACTCCATGCCTGAGAGCTTTAAAAAAAAAAAAACTGCTGAAGGCTGTGTGGCCTTTTCCTTAAGTAGCCCTTGCTTGGCAGTGGCTAACACCTGTAATCCCAGCACTTTGGGAGGATAAAGTGGGTGGATCATGAGGTCAGGAGTTCAAGACCAGCCTGGCCAAGATGGTGAAACCCTGTCTCTACTAAAAATACAAAAATTATCTGGGTGTGGTGGCAGGTGCCTGTAATTCCAGCGACTCAGGAGGCTGAGGCAGGAGAGTCACTTGAACCCGGGAGGCCGAGGTTGCAGTGAACCAAGATCGTGCCACTGCACTCCAGCCTGGGTGACAGAGTGAGACTCCATCTTAAACAAAATAAAACAAAGCAAAACAAAACAGTAGCCCTCACTTAATGACTCTTGGAGTTGTCATGTAAGACCATAGCCCTTTAGGTGGGATAATGCTGGGGCATTTTGT